TCGGGTTGCAGATTGAACATTTTCCAGAAGCATTATTTGTTCATCAATATACATATACAGAAAAAATCTTAAAACGATTTTATATTGATAATGCACATCCATTGACATCACCTATAGTTGTTCGATTACTTGATATGAAAAATAATCATTTTCGTCTACTTGAAGATAGAGAAAAGATTATTGGTTTTGAAGTACCATATCTTTGTAAAATTGGAGTATTAACTTATCTTGCAAATTGTACTCGACCCGACATAGCTTTTTCTATAAATTTGCTTGCAAGATATAGCTCTACACCAACACAAAGAAATTGGAACGGTGTTAAACATATTTTTCGTTACCTAAATGGTACTATTGTTTTGAGATTATTTTATTTTCAAAAGTTTGGATTTGCTTTAGTGAGATATGTAGATGCAAGTTATTTCTCTGACTCACTTACAACTAAATCACAAATAGGATAGGTGTTTACACGTAGATGAACAACTATATCATAGAGATCTGTAAAGCAATCTTTGATAGCAACATCTTCAAATCATTTTGAAATTATTACAATCCATGAAGCATGCCGAAAATGTGTATGGTTGAGGAACATGACACATCATATTCAAGCATCATGCAGATTAATTTCAATAAAAGATAGTGCTGCTTGTATTGTACAACTTAAAGGATGTTATATCAAATGTGACAGGACGAATCATATTTCTCCAAAATTCTTTTATAAACACGAGTTTCAGAAAAATGACATCAATATTCAACAAATTCGTTCAAGTGACAATGTGACTTATTTATTTACAAAAGTAATGTCAAAATCTACATTCAAGAAATTAGTTCACAAAATTGGAATACGTCGACTCAAAGATTTTCAGTGATTAATATAAGGGGAGTAGATGTACTTTTTTTCCTTAACTTATGTTTTATCCCATTGAGTTTTTCTAACAAGGTTTTAATGAGACGGCATCTATTTTTAATATTCAAAAATAATTGTCTTCATTTTCCATCGTTTGATTTTTTTGTCCCTGAATTTTT